AGAGATATACATGAAATTCCAACATTTTTTCATTAAAAAAAAAGGCCTCCACTGTGCAGAGTTTAAAAGTCCTGCCCTACAGTGACACCAAATGGTAGCAGATCAAAATACAATACACAAATAGGACATTTGTTTGATTCAATCTTCCTATAAATGTGTGATTCCTTTGAAGAACAGGCAGTTTAAGAGAATTAAATGATGTGGAGACAAATACTTAAAGAAACTAGAATTTTTAATCAAAGAAAGTCTCAAATGCCAAGCTTCACATGTAAATTTTTAGGCCTCCTTCCAAACTTCAACTAATCTTCTGATCCCACTGAATATTTACATAACTCATTTCTCACACAGCTAAAATCATGCCACTGTGAACAGTGATTTTACCTAATGGCTTACTGATCAAAGAAATCTTGCAAATAAAAAAAAAAAATGCAGTCATACACCTAAAGTCTGATTTCAATCCACAAAAGCCATCCATTGGTCAAGTAGGCAGTATGCTGAGGGATAACTGAGATGAAAAATAAGGAACCAGAGAAGAAATATAGGCAACTGATTCAATTAGTGTTTCTAGGAAATACACTTTTCATTTCTTTATGTGCTTCATAAAGGTAAGATGAATAAAGCAAAAAGCTACTACATCCCAAATATAGACCAATTTATTAAAAAGTTCTCCTAGATTGTCCAGGGAAAAGAATTTCTCAAATTAAGCCTATCAGTCAAACTCTGTGTCATTTGATATCATCTAAAGCAATGAATAAAAACACAATGTAAACTATCTTATTTATTACATAAAGACAGAGATCAGCCACTTCCCAGAGCACTCCTCTAAAATACAATTTGGGCAGGTTCACTATTAGGCTCTTAGAATTAAATAAAAGCTTCGTCGGATTTTTTTTTTAAATGTTATTTTTCATACAACAAAACCTCCTAGGATATACACAATATGTAAGTATGTGATCAGCTACAGAAATAAATCAGGATCATTAGAATCTAAGGCCCTGAATTCATACCACTAGATTTGTATTTTGTATTTCAAGAATAGCTAGAAGACAAGAATTTGAATTCTATTATTACATAAGAATAAAAGTTAGACATACTACCTACCCTGATTTAGTCATTACACAATGTGTCTGTGTATCAAAATATCACACTTTGCTCAATGAATATGTTCAATTCTGTGTTAGTTACAAACAAACAATTTTTTTTAACTAAGAGAGAGAAGCAAATGGAGAAGGATGAGGGGAAGGGAAGGGAAGGAGGAGAGCAAGGGGAAAAAAGGGGAGGAAAGGGGAAGGGAGGGGAGGAGTAGGGAGGGGAGGAGAGGGGAATGGAGGGGAGGAGAGGGAAGGGAAAAAGAAGAAAGGAGAAAAGAGGAAAATACTACTGAACTCCTATTTTACCAAGTCATTACTCTACCATATACATGGATGGTCACCTTTAATATACTTGAACAGGGCCAGCCAAATAGCTCAGCAGACTAAAGTGCCTGCTTAGGTAGAGGCAGAGGCAGGGGTTGAAGGTTCAATCCCTGGCCAGCCATGCGGGCCCCATCCCCTGGGGCATGCTGAGAGGGCGATTGATACTGGGTGTGGTGATACACACCTGTAATCCCAGCACTTGGGAGGCTGAAAACAGAAGAATCACTAAAAGTCCAATCTATATAGTGAAACCTTGTATACCTTGTAAACCCTGTACTAAATACAATAAAATCAATCACTCACTCACTCACTCACTCACTCACTCACTCACTCATTTGGACAATGACAGTACTGACCAAAGATCCTATGCCCTGTCATAAGGACCATGAAGAAAATTAGTTTAGGAAGGTACCTTAAGATTCAGAATTACTAGAAACACCAGATAAACAATTCTCAGCATCATAAAAGGATCCATGTTGCCAGGCGTGGTGAGGCATGTCTGTAACTCCAGCATTCTGGGAGGCAGAGGAAAGAGGATTGCAATTTCACTCCCAGCCTCTGAAACTTAGCAATCTAGGGAGACACTGTCTCAAAACAAAAACTAAGAAAAAACTAGGGATGTATCTTGGTATGTAGGTCCTGAGTTCAGTCCTCTGTCCCCTGTACAGTCACAAACACAACACTGGGTACAGGGGGGATATAATTAAGTCTGAAGTTCTGAAATTCAATCCCTGAAACTTCCACCAAAGAAAAGAAAGTTTTTATGTCTACTACAATGGATTTAAGACTCTTAATTAGAAAAAGAGGTAGTATGCACATTAGAACATTTAAGGAAACAAGGCATGTGAACATGAAACAGTGAATTACAGGAAACTTGGGAGAAAATGGATTGGGTAGCTGGGAAAAAAAGGTTCAGAAACTGCCATTTATTAAAATTAACATTTCAAATAAGAACAAATATACACTGATCTTAGCTAAAGATTGAGAAGCAATTACTTATATTATTTCCAATAATAAATTTGTATATCATACTCTATGGGACAGAGAGCCCTGGAAAATTGTAAGTAATACAAAATAACTATAAACGTTTCCAATCTGCATATGTATCAGTTCTGTGAAAATAAATTAATTCATCTTTAACTGGCACTGGATATTTAATATTGAGCACTGCCTTACTACTAAAGAGAAAATAATGCACAGAATAACCAATGTATTAGTAATATTACATATTTTTTTAAAAACATAATACTTATGGAGATATAAAGCTAATGATATAATGCAAACAACTTTAGGATATTCTGAATATGAAGAGAACACATTTTTTAAGAAATGTGAAATTCCTATGAATCAAATTCATGAATCTATATACCTGTATAGAAGAAACTAAAACTACTAATTTTGGTGAACATGAAAATCTTAAAAATTCCAGTATCAGTCTTTAGAACCTGCAGATTTTTAAAAAGAGATAAGAGTAAATTTATTGTGGTACAAAACAAAAAATTCTAAACATTGAATGGACTGTGACATTAAGTACAAACCATTTCTCTATGACTCTGATAATTTTTCAGGTAGAAATAATTAGTATTTTAAATCTAGGCTGAATCCAAAAGTAAATTTTTTAATTGAGATAAAAGTCATATGAAATATGCAGTGCAGCTAACTTCCTATTAATTGCCCATTTTTGACACAAATATAATTTCAAAATATTTGTTACATTAAAATTGAAACATATGATGAGATCTTAAAGATAATTTCATATGCAATGTCCTGAGTTTTATCCTGGTAACAAAAAAGAATTTTTTTTTTTTTTTTGCAAAACCAGGGATTGAACTCCGGTCCTTGAGCTTGCCAGGCAAGCACTTATTGTATTGCGCTATCTCCCCAGCCCCATAAAAAGGATTTTTAAGAACATAGCTTCATAATAATTATATACAATTTCTTAAAATCACCAAATTATTGAATCATAGATAGTTGGTAGACTGCAAATAGGCCATGCTTTAATGAACTAACAAAATTAAGTAAGATTTTAATCTAGAAGGTATAACAGAAAATGTTAGTTGTTCCACTCTATTTAACTCACTCTCCCCAGTATAATTTGAATTGGTTAATAAGAACTGTTCACAGCTTTTAGTAAGCTTCTTTGGGGGAGGGGAGGGTAGAAAGGGGTTCGAGAAGTAAAGAAGCCAGACTAGAAATGGTGAAAAGACAATGAAAAAAAAATTTTAAGTCTTATTTCTTCCTGAATTTTTATCCTCATTTAAAAAGGAAAATAATTATGTTTTAAATGTTAGTAGAAAATTTTTAAAAATTCAGTGCCACACAAACCAAAAGGAAGTGTTCATGAACATTAATAATTAACAGAAGACTAAAGCACTGCACACATTGTCCATAAGAAACATTTTCCCACACATTACTCCATTTGCATCCAGGTGCAGCCTGGTAAAGAGGAGACAAACTCCAAGTCCAACCTGAGCTGACATAAGGCAACATATACCTACAATAACAACTGTTTTAACTTTCTGACCCCTAATACTACACTGCTTATAAACTGTAGAATTTCCAGTGTAAACTCTAGATTTTTAAGCTGTACTATTTGAATAAGGAATGAAAAGTGTTTTTTTAATTAAAAGGCTATATAATAAAAATTGTAAGACTGTGAGCATAAGGACAAACCTGCTTCTTACTCATCACTTTTTTCCTTCCACTTCTTGGAAATTTATGGTTAGGGGAGCTGAATAGGGTTGGTTTAGGAACATGCAAGTTTTAATAGAGGAGGCTTACATTTGTGCTAATGAAGCACAGACACACCTGATAAGTTAGCCAACCTGAATATTTAAAGTGATATCAAGTATGACTGCACCTTAGACCTGGAGGTGGTTAATATAACTTGAGATGAAACAATAAATAATCCTATAAAAATCAGTACTTTATCATTGTGATGACTGTGAGCGACCAAGCAAAAGATGATCATGTAATGATAGGAGGAAAGAGTAGAGGAAAGGAAGTTTGATAAAAATCTTAATTTTAAGTTATAGAACAGATAATACACACCATTGGGAAAGCTTTTTGCTTCTTCAGTCCCAGTTCCCAAAAAATAGGGATGAACACGACTACCAGAGAACCAAGATTTTTTTAAAAAAATAAATTCATTTTTCATTCTCATTATTGAGAAAGAGACTGTACTATATTTTAATCTCTCTTGAGTTCATCTCTTAAAAATGCAGTACAGTCTCAAACAGACAAATTCAAGAGAGATTAAAATATATACTTGAAGATACTCTTGGAATTTTGCAAATCACAGTTTTAAAATAAATCACAAAGGTACTCTTTTCACAAGGGATGCAAGTTTTCATTTTACATTCTGACTTAAGAGAGAGCAAAGTTTATAAACAGCGTCTTAAACCTCACTTATTGCCAGAATTTCAATATATATATTTTAAATTATCATTTCTTGTGAATGTGTTTAACAAGATAAGTATTAAACTTATGAAACAGTGATGTAGAAAACTTCACATTTCTTTTTCCTGTTCTACATAGCACAAAAATCTCCTTAAGAGTTAACTGACTCTGATATACAGTACTTACCACAACAGCAAATTGCTCCGGTTCACATAAGTTGTTATAGTCACTTTTGAACTGAGACAAAGAACTTAACTGCTCTTGATCAGGAAGATGTTTTATTAAGTTCTAAAAATTAAAATGAAAAGAAAATGTTTATTAGATGTACATCTTAAATTTTAGAATAATTACTTATGGAAAAGAAACCAGTGAAGAAACTACTGTTTACCTTTTTTCCTCATGCTAATTTTCTTATATTAAACCTAAAGCAATATTCTCTGTATGTTTGGAAGAGTCTATTTTCTTTTACCTATTCCACAGTTACCACTTACTCAAGTCAAGCACTACTAAATGTTTATTTGACTGGCTGACAATTAAGAAAAGAAGAAGTTGACCAATAACAAAGGAAAAGCTTTCTAACTTGTATAAATGAGATTCATTATGGTAGAGAAATTAACTGTCAAATATTTAGGAGAAGGCCAAACATACCTTAGCACTTTACTCAATGAAAAAAAAGAAATCATATTGCTACTAAGAGGCAAAGGACAGAAAGGAATCAAGGGAATTGAAATGGCAGTGCTTATAAGATTAACCAGTAAACTATATTTTAATAATAAAAACAAAAGGGTCAGGAGATATATCTAAGTGGCATAAACACCTGCTTGGCAAGTGCAAGGTTCAATCCCCAGTACCAGATAAATACATAGACAAACAAACTGAATATATCTTTAAAATAAAGACAAAGTAACTTATCTGGTGTAGAAGAAAAATGGAAAGGCCAGTGAACATACAGGATATATATCCTGTAGATGATAAAAGAATATAAAGAGATCATATGTTTATCCCATCTACAGTTTGAGAGGCCAGCCAAATAGCTCAGCGGATTAAAGTACCTGCAAGCAGGCACAGTGGTGAGGGGTTTGATCCCCAGGCCTATGGTGCCAGGCCCGCCCCCGAGGCGCACTGAGATGGCAATTGACTGGGCATGGTGGCGTGCACCTGTAATCCCAGCTCTTGGGAGGCTGTAAACAGGCTGATCACTAGGAGTCTTTTCTAGGAGTTTTGTATTTTACGTCCTTCCCTAAAATACAAAAATAAAAAATCTACAGCTTGAAAATCCTAGGTTCACTTGGGTGCTCTGGCTCCTTTGTGTACATCTGGCACGCCAAACTCACATACTTAAAGAAGAGGAGCACCTGAAGGAAGGTTAGGAAACACACACAAATACCCCTCCCAGTAAGACCTGAAGGGTCAAGCAACTCCCACAAAACCTACATGGATCCTCAACAAACGTGCTCAACCGTAATTGTATTACCAGATAGTACACTAAGAGTGAAATTAAGGAAGAAAAAAGAGTAGTTGATGCTCACAATTCTGAACTATAATGCCAGTAATTTCTGTATAAGCTGAAAGTACAAATTGCAATTAAGCCTACAGCATACTATTTGTTTATTTACTTATTCAAACATTGGCAGACAAAAAATCTCCAAAGATGTTTTTGGTTAAAACATGTTTGAGGAATGCATGCATCAAACATGGTCACAGCAAAGAAGAATTTGAACAGTTATGGTTTAGATCTCAAATGTCTCCCAAGTGTCATGTGGTAAGAAGTACGTGGCACATACCTATGAGGGTATACTCTTCTGCCCACTCTTTCCCACCTCCCCTCTCTCTGCTTCCAGGCTGTGTGAGGTCAACAGCTGTCTTCCATCATGCCCTTCTGCCATAATTTAACTGCCTTGGAGTCAACTAAGCATGGACTAAACTCCATGGAACCATAAGTCCCATAATCCTCTCCTTTAAACTGCAGTGTCATATATTTCATCCAAGTGGTGGAAAAGTAACTAACATACTGACTCACTGCATACCTTTGTACAAAACTTTATAGATGGCCAATAACAACAAATAGTGACAATTTATGATCATGCCAAGAAAAGGTAAATACAATTAATACTAGCAGGGTGAATAAAAACAGTAAGGAATGTAACTGCATTGCACAAATAGAAATTTTTCTTCTTGGAATTTCTTGAGATGAAAATATTTGGTTATTTATACTTCTCTTAACTATTCTTGTTCAAGCTATACTATCCAGGTTACTCATTATACTCAGGCCCTGAATTTCTTTAGCATTCTTGTAGATGATACTCAAATCTCCTTAAATAATTTAGTTAATATAATTACTTTCAACTTTTCAATATAAGGATCTTAATTTTCATTTTACTATTTTGCCCTCTAATGTTGAAAAGTGACCATGATTTGTAAATACATGGGCCAACCTGATCTTATTTTCACCTAAACAAATTTCCCAGAACTTGCATAATCTTAAAGCTCTTGTCAAAATAAATTCTGTAAAGCTGTCCAAACACATATAGTTTTCCCCTCACATCTGGTGTTGGCACTGCCAAAAGAAGTGCCCATCACTGTGCTTCTCAAAGAATTCCCTCAGCATTTCCTACACCTATACCCTACTCACCCTTAAGTAAGCTTGCCTGCATACGTACACAGAATGCACTCTCCAACACATCCCACGGTACTACATCAAATGGAATAAAGCACTGTCTATCTAATAAGAAATGTAATTTTGTTTGGTGAAATACAAATTCCAAGAAGGGGAAGTCTATCTCTGATAAAAGTCTAATGCTACTCTGCACATAGTGGGTATAAAAAAATTTGTAACAGAAATTAATGAAAGCCTAGTGGGACAAAGTTTTAAATGGATAAGAATGATGTCTAAAAATTCCATGAAAAATAATACACTACTCATCTCTTGTTACATAAAAATAAATAAGTAGATTTAGGAAAATTAAAGATGACAGTGAACAAAACCAACCAAAATAATGCTTATTGCAAGATAATACTGTCTAAGTCATGTTTAAACTCGGAAGTTCCTAGCCTAAAATTGAGAAAAAGGGCCAGGAGATTGCTCAGTGGAATAAGTGATTGCCAGGCAAGTACAAGGTCCTGAGTTCAGTCCCCAGTGTTCCAAAAAAAAAAGCGGGGGGGGGGGGGGGGAATGTGTTTAAAATTAAAGGGTTCAAATTGCATCAAATTCTTATTTTTAATGATTATAAGGAAAATTTTTATTCAAAAATATTTTAGGCTTTAAACTCATAAACTTGGCCTTACATTTATTAAGTATGGCAAGCATAATGACAACATCCATTCTGGGGTGTACTTCTTAGCACCTATGAAAATATAGGATATGTGACAAAGGGAATTAAATTTATAGATGGGCTCAAGGCTGCTGTCAGCTAATCTCAAATTACGGCAATTGCCTAGATAATCTGAGTATACCTGAGGTAATCACAAAAGTACTTATAAGGGGATACAGCAACAGAACTATGACCATGAAAGAAAGAAACAAAAATGATACAACACTGCTGGTCACATGAGAATCGGCAAAAGAGAAAGACAAACTTGTTTGCTACAGCCTACAAAGGTGACCACAGAGCAGCCAGCACCATGGCCTCAACCCAGGAGACTTGGGCCAGCCTTCTGTTCTACAGAATGTCAGCGAGGAAATATGCAATATGTAAGCTATGAATTTTGTGGTGACTTGTTAATACCGCAATAGAAAATTAATACATTAACACATTATAAGAAGCTAAATCTATTTGCAACATGAAATTTAAAATGCAAATGACCTTTTTTCTTTCTGTAGACAACAAAAGCCAAATGATCACCCAAAACATTCATGTAATCAAGTTAAAAGCGATTCTGTAAATATTTTAAAAATTCATTATAAGAAATACAAACAAGTATTAAGCAGAGAAATTTTTCTTTAAGGAGCAAGGCATCTGCTCCCAGCAAGAAGCCACATACACAATCAGCAACAATAAATGTAAAATTTTGGCTTGTAAAACAAAATGGCCAGAGGGAGAAAATATTTACAGAAGTTATCAAATAAAGTAGTTTATGACTCTTAGAGATACACACATACATAAATGAAAATAAACCAGTACTACATTTTAGAAGACATATTAACAAGGTAAATGCAAAAAAAAGAACTTCTATACATTTATTGAAGAGTTAAAGCATCTAAAATAATTTTTAACTGCTTGATACTAAACAATAATTTTCATCTTTTATTTGTAGGAAATTATTTTAGAAGCATATCTTTAATAGCAACAGGCAATAAACTGGAGAGATTCTTTCCTTTGGTCATCTGTGTTATGATTCTCCAAATTTAAATTCTATCGACAGATAAAAAAAAAAAAAAAAAAAAAAAAAAAAAAAACTCATGTGGAATTGCAAAGTGACCCCGGTACCACACCAATATTCAGTAAAAAAATAATAAATAAAAATAAATAAAAATCTGAGGATAGAAACCGTTTTAAAAATCATCTGATTTTTGGCTGGGCTTGGTACATGCCAGTAATTACAACATTCAAGAGGCTGAGGCAGGAGGATCACTACATGTTGAGTTTGAGAGCTAGACTGTGCTACAGAGTGAGTGCCTGAACTAAACTGCCAGATCCTGTCTCAAAAGAAAACCTCCTGAATGAGTAGCATGTAGCAGGCAGACATAGCTCTCTTTCTCAGAGAACATCAACAACCCAAACTCAAGAAGGGGCTGCTGGTAAAGGTAACGAATGAAAACTTGTTTACTCTCCTTTACCAAGTAGTAAGGCATACTTACCTGGTAGGGGAGATTCCATGATCACAAATCGTAACGCAATTGTATAAGCCTAAGAAAAACATTCCATAAAGGCTATAAAATTTGTAGTTAAGATGCCACTACACTTAACTATAACAAAAACAAAAAATTACATGTAAAATGAAACACTTTGCCCTTCACCAGCTTTTAAAATAAGTGAAATGTAATCATTTTGATAGCATTATATTTAGTTCTGTGTTAAGGGAAGACAGAGTTTTATCTCCCTGCAATGCAGAAGTTATGCTGAAGTTAATTATGCAGCAATGATTTTCCAGTTGAATGATTTGGATTAAGAATTTTGCTTCACTTACAGATTTCTATTTAATGAGGAGTTTGCAATGAAATATTGGAATTTAAACTCTGCCAGCTTGTTTACCTGAATCATAGACTCTGCCAACTGTGTTTCATCCACTTCCAATACCATCTTTTTGATTTCCTCATATGGCACCCGAAAAGAGCTCAGGAAGATTGCTAAGCAAAAGAGCGGGGTAGAAATGGTTCATGAAGAATAAGATAACAAAGGAATTTTACATGTAGTTTTACTAATAATATAAAAATAATAAATCCACACAAAAATGTATAGATTCAATATAATTATTAAGGAGAAAATTTCCTTCATACACTTTATATATTCTTCTCCAGTTGAAATATGACATTCCTCTATTATTAGGCAGATACAAGCATTGATTTTTAAATGCATAATTATTTGTCTACCTTAGGAATGATGCCAATTTTCAAGTGATTTAAAACAAATAAGTATGTAAGATACACTGTAGAAAATCAGGATATCAAAGGATCACAACATCTATGAACAGATATGCATGGGACTAAAAGGACAACTCAGAAGAATGATCTAGCAAGTAAAAAAAGTAATATAGTGACTATATAATGTCAAAGGGACAATGAATGAGTAACTGACAGTGAAGGAATAAAACCCAATTCTTCACATCATGTAAAGACGAAGGTGCAAATATAAATGTTTACAAAAATAAGAAGACTGAACACAATACATTAGCTTATCAAGGGTTTAAGAATTCAAACATAAAGCCTATGAAAAAAATTTTTTGTCTGGCATTATAAAAGAAATACCAAAGCACTCAAAACAAAAAGCAAGCAAGATGAGGTGAAAAGATCTGCCTTAAAACTCAGAGTTTTACTTTTCTGAATTTTATTAATGTGATCCTTTGTTCCAGCCCGGGCTTCACATGCATCACCATTCCTAGCATAGGCAGCCCATATGTACAACTCCTCGTACTCAGCAGGACAAAGGAAGCCGCTGCAGAGAATACAGCACATATCTCTTGTTCTTCATCTTTTGGTGATGCATGTCCTGAAGTCTAGGAAATGCAGTACAGGAATAAAGTAGTTCATGTTTTCTGAGTTTTATGAAAAACATAAACAAGCACCTAAAATAATTAGAATACCAGGAGGTCTAATAGGAAAATGAGCAAAATATATATAAAATCAATTTAAAAATAAAGAAATAAAAATGGTAAGAAATAGATAGCAAATCTTCTGAGAAAGAAAATTAAGATGGAGAATTATGAAGATGTATCTATACTATCAGTGTAGTGACATTAATATGAATCTCTGAATTACTGCTGTTTTTGAGCAAAAGTAAATTCTACTTAAAAAACAAAGTCTAAAGATAAAATGCAAAAAAGTTCAGAATATTAAAGAAAAAATTAAAACAGAATTACTCTAAAATGTCTTATAGGAACTAAATGAAACAAGTTCTACATGTATATTTGAGGCAGTACAGAGAAATTCCAGAACTATCTAAAAAAATAATTTTTGATCTTAAAAGCATTTTTGAGTTTTTTCAAAAGAGAAAAAGCAATAATCATATGAGACAATAAAATAATTATTTATAGAAATGAAAGAAAAGCTTGAAATGGTGGGTGGGAGAAAACCCAAGATACTGATTAAAAACAAGTGTCATAATTTAAAGAAAAAAGTAGAAGTTTTAGAAATTTTAAAAATAGTCAAAGTAGGAGCCGGGGAGATGGCTCAGTAGAATAAGTGCTTCCCTGGCAAGCACAAGGATCTGAGTTCAATCCCCAATTCCACAAAAAGAAATAAATTTTTAAAAAAAATTAAAAAAACAAAAAACAACATATCTATTAAGTATCAGATTAAAGAGACAATTGGAGACATGTGAGGCAAATTTATTCAAAACACATCAAAGAGATAAAAAGATGGAAAAATGCTAGATTAAGGCAAATAGATGATGAGTATGTGAATCTTAAGTAACCCAGCAGTGGTACCAAAGAATGAATCAGAAAGAAACAAGCAAGTCTGGGGTTCGATCCCTGGCACCACATGCCGCTCTGGCACCACACCCAGGCATGCTGAGCCAGCCACTGAGTCCAGACATGGTGGTGCACGCCTGTAATCCCAGTGCTGGGGAAACTAAAAACATAAGGGAGGAAGGAAGGAAGGAAGGAAGGAAGGAAGGAAGGAAGGAAGGAAGGAAGGCAGGCAGGCAGGCAGGCAGGCAGGCAGGCAGATACAAATATTAATTTAAGTAAAATAATTTTATTTAACTAATATAAAGAATATGCATTTTAAAAAGTGTGACACTGGGGCTGGGGCGATAGCTCAGGGGAATAAGTGCTTGCCTGGCAAGCGCAAGGTCCTGAGTTTAATCCCTGATACTATCAAAACAAAAAAAGAAAAAAAGTGTGACACTGTGACAAAATGACTTGCCACTGTCAGGTTTGGCCTTTCCCCACAATACCTCTAAACTACTCTCTAAACTCTTACAATATCCTGCCTGATGACAGCATCTTTTTTATCTGCAGGTATGAGCCCAGGATAGATAGCACTAACACAGAGCTTTGCACTCACAAGACAAGCTCTACCTCTGGGCCAGCCATACAACTTCAACCCTAACCATGGCCCAGCATTAACTATGAAGACCGAGAAAACTGGAAACTTCATGCTGGACTCCGCCCATGCTATCTGCCATCGCGCAGGAACATAGTGTAGCCATAACTCAGACAGTTGCACTGCTTGCCCACTCTTCTCTGTCTCTGAATGAATCATCAAGACTGAGAGTGCCTGTAGAAGCACTGGCCTTGCAACTGGTATTAGAAGTCAGGGTGTCACTGATTGGAAAACCATCAACTTCTCATAAAAAAAAAAAAAAAAAAACCTGCATGATCTCGCACAATTACATTCATGAATAAAGGTAAGATAAATCTACATAAGTAACAGATTACTAACACACAAAAATAGAAAAAATGTTAGTAGCACAATTTGGTTTGTAGATGGAAATAACATTCTTTTATGAGGTAAAACATTAGATGGACTTCAAAAAAAACATTGAAGTAAAAGACACAGTGCCATTAATTCCCACCAAAATATTTCCCATTACTTTGAACACACTCCCCCCCACACACACTTTCTGAAGCTCATCTCAAAGTCCCTCATTCTGTCTTCCATTGCTCTGCCGTAACTACCTCAATGTCTGGAATTGACTCAAAACTTTCACCTTCACGATCACCTCGACTTTGGTGAATAGCCACAAGTAGCGAAGTGGCAGATTTCATGAATAAGCAGACAAAGTGAGCAGGAATATCTTGTGGGAGCTTAAGAGGTGATGTAGGTTTTTACTGTAATACTTTTTAAAATATGTAATTAAACATTTCACATATTTTATTGTACCTATTTTATTCTATGTTTCTTTCCAACAGTCACCTAGAATTAAACTAGCATGAAACATATATTTATGTCAATAAAGCCATGGTTTTAATAGTTTATGAATAAACTGTCTTTTGGAAAGCATTTGCTGTAATATCCACAGAGGAAAAAATTACAGGAGAGTTGAAAATGACCTACTGCTTAGGAGGTAATTTGAAAGACAAGTGTAGACTTCTTAAAAGTTACTGAGAATATAAGGATACTCAAAGCCTCCAAAAAGCCTATAAAAATGATTTTTTTTTTAACTAGCATATATCTTTTCCTTCAAAATGGGATAATATAGATCCCCAATAGCAAGCTCTGGGTTTGATACAAAACAGTAGACTATACACATCTTGGAGTTAGTCACTTGTATTCTGTGTGGCAATTTATATATGTCTAAAGTAAAACATTCACATTAATTTGTAGAGTCCAAGGTTTTTCCCTGTAGAGCTATAATACTAACTCAAAAGAAAAGTAGAAAAACACAGGAATACTGTAAAGTTCTGAGATTGCTCTTGATCCAGGGATTCTATCATTTATGATAGGCCAGGGTCTTTGACAAAATCTTTCAAACTACAGAAAGCCCTACATAATATTTAAATAGGCAAATAAATGAGTTTTTCAATTTAAAAATGAATACAAATTCTCAAAATTCTATAGAATATTTCAGTTAAAGAATTCAAAGAGAAATTATATACTACAGGCTTATCTTTCTCTCCAATAAGCTTTACAAGTGAATCTCTCCATTCTAGTATCAGTATTCTACTACTGACCACAGCATTACTTGACATTTTCTCAATGAAAAACAGTTGTCACTAATTAAACATCATTCTCCTCTGAATACAGTATCTCAAACCTCTAAGTTTTATGGACAAAACCCAGCTGTGAATCCAACTATAATTACAGTAAAGATTACAGGCTGCTAAAGCTTCATAACACTTCAATCACAAAACTTGCTACAATCTGAGAGGGCAAGCGTAATTTTGAAATGTATGACTTCATAATATGACAGAATATAAATTCTGTATCTTTTTATCTCACACTTTAAAATATACTTCTCCAACTAAGTAAACAGAATATATATCCTCTAGCTAAAGCAAACAACACAAATAGGATCTTTTTCTACGATAATAATGTTAATATACAGGTAAATAGGAATACATAAATAGGAATAAATATATATTATACTTAATTATTTGTCTTATTTGAACTCTTTTATTGTTAAAAGCACCACATTCTCAAGTCAATGTACATACCTATCTGATGGGCTTATAATAATACATAAATCAACAAACAAAGAACTACTACAAATGGTGAAAAAATTATTAGCACATGTTATTATTTATCACATTATGTTTAGCATACGCTCTACAACATATGAACAGTTACCTTATTCAACCAGTTACTATTCTCTTTGAGGTGTCTAAGCAAAATTATCATTGTCTGATCAACTGAGAAAGTAATGTATTCAAAATGGTATTTCCTCAGCAACTATAAATGGTTGGTTTGGTTCAAGACTAGTAGTATGGTCAGAAATATATTTTTAAACAAAAATCATCTTTTAGATCACTGAGTATAGAACTTTCTCACATTTATCTCAGCTAATAATGTAATGTTCAGAACTGAAATAATGTTTTCGGGAGGAGGTAGGAGAAAATTCTCCAAGCTAAATAATATAACAACTAAGTGTCAGTGGGCTACATTATCACACATAGAAAAAATTATGTCTAATTCACAGTATATGTCCATTGTCCCCTAGAAGGACAGGGCACTACTGATTATGACCATTGTTATTTTTATGACCATTTTATCAAGATGATGGACACCATTCTGACTGTAATTCTGGAGGCCAACAAAAAGAGATTTCTGAGTTTCTTATGCCCACCCCTTTAAGCCAAAAATGATGTTATCTTTACTCACATTTTCTTGGCCCAACATACACCATAATCATACCTAACTTGAAAGAAGCACTAGTGTAGAAATAATCATCTTGAGCTCAGGAAAAAATAAATAAATGACTACTGGCCAACAGTATTAACACCTCCTCACTGCTTCAGGGGACCTTAACAGGCCCACACTATAGAAAGAGAAGACTCTGGCAGAGTGAAGATCATAGTGAAGATAAGAGGGATTCATTTCCAAACCTTTCCAAAATGAATGCCTACCTTTGTACATATTCTCTTTAAGGAAACTTTTGATCTTTTATTCTCTCATTGGAGAACAATTTTATCCCAATACTTGCTAAAAGCTCACTTGACAGCCAGGGAGATGGCTCAGTAGAATAAACATTTGCCTGGCAAGCGCAAGTGCCTGAGTTCAATCCCAAGTTCCACAAAAAAAAAAAAATAAAAATAAAAAAATTTTAAAAAGCTCACTTGAGGCAAGTTAATAATTGACGCAGACTAAAAGCTATGCTATCTTCTTACCTCTAGCTTCTCCACATTATATCCCTCTTGCACCATCAGAAAAGAGAAAGAGAGAGAGAGAGAGAGAGAGAGAGAGAGAGAGAGAGAGAGAGAGAGACACAGACACAGACACAGAGACAGAGACAGAGAAATAGAGAAAGAGACATCTTAGCTCTTCACAGAACTATGTTTGATGCACTTAAGATGCAGTTAGAAATGACAGAGAAGCAAAATCATTTGCCTTCTTATCTACAGTAATTCAGTCAGGAAGACAGCTCAGCACTATGTATTTCACAGCTCAGCTTTGAAAGGTTAAGATAAAATAATGGAATTTATTTTACTCATCAATTCTATTCCCATTAATATTATAACTTCCTTTTTGTGTGATTAAAATATCACAAACAATAGAGATTCAGAGGCATAAAAGAAATAATTCATTTTTTTCAAAATATGATGTCACTACCTGAGTTTCTTGTCTTTATATTTACACTTTAAAACAAGACTGTATAATATATTCTCATTTCAGTGACGGGAGGTAGAATTTCAAAATAAATCTTGTTCTTATTTTATAATATGCATTAATCTTTTGAAAAGAGTTTAATCTCATAATTTGCATAATGATGAATTATATTTGAATTTATTATGCAAATAACAATAAAATTAAAATAACCATAAAATGAAAAACAAGTCATAAAATAAAATAATTTAAACCATCTACTTATGTTTTGGTAATTTAATAGCACTGAAATATACTTACAAAGATTCTGGGCAATCTTTGAATCCAGAAACTTAAGTTCTTTAATTTTTTTCTTAATAACTTTCTTTTCTTCAAAAACTTCCTCATCTTTTTTTTCTGGAAAATCAAAGATAGAATGATGTTTGGTTCATACGGTATTTATATACAAAAGGATGAAAAGTGAACTGTTTTACATCAAGGATGCACAGTGTTCTAAACCACACAGTTACAAAACAATGAAATGGATTCCAAGACTCAAACTGTTTCAGATAAGTATCTGTGGTTCTTAAGTTACAAAGAGTAAGTGTGCAAAAGTTTAACATGAAAAACAAAAATAGCACTAACAGCACTAATACACACTATAGAAATGAATGCCATCAAGTGTAAGTATATGTGTAGTCTGTTCACTTGAGAAATGTACAGAACACAGTTATAACAATACATTAATCCTTCTCATGACTTGCTGAGTAGCCCTGAAAGTACTAAGCAAACAAAACTGTTTTCTGTTTGACTTATCATGATTGTTTAAAATCATATCTCCATCACAAGTCCAACCTAAGTAGTGAGACCCTGTAGACCCTATACTAAACACATAAAAAATAAAATAAAATCAGATCCCTTATAAAATTTGAATTATAACTAAAAATATATTTTTTAAACTCTTAAAAGTAGTCAAATATTCATAGCCCATTTTAACTCATTAGTCTAAAAAATTCAATAAATTGACTTTATCCTTAAAAAACAATGAGTATATTACATTAAACAACATATGAACAGTATGTTTACAGTAGAGTCAAGCTTACAGGCACAACCAATAACGTGGTTGTGTCAACTTTCTTCTCTCTGGTGTCCATGAACAAGATTTTTTAGTATCAGTCATTCTATAAAATTAGAATTTTTGATGATATCAAGCTGAGAGGGACAAATGTCTAGATAGATATAAACAAATCACTAATATTAAAAAATAATCAGAAAACAATTAAAAACCAACTTCAAGATCTTTTATGTGTCAGATGATATAATTCCATTATTTTCATTTTTCCCACTATTTTTATATCAAAAGGAAGCATAATTATAGGTTTTGCTACAAAGTTTGAGATAAAGGTCAAATTTTCAACTTCTGAAAATATTTATTAGCTAATTTTTGTGTCATTTTGTGTGGAATCAAGCATCAATTTGAACAGATTTTAAACTTCAGATATTAGGTCTCTTTTCTGAGCTACTAATTCTTTTCATGTACCACTCATATGCTACTTGCCACTCTGGCTTAATTATGACAGAGTTGCATATTTTGAGTGATTGTTCATATTATTTTTTATCCTCAAATTTCTATTGTTTTTCTCACTTATTTTCTCACTTCAACTATCAAGTAATTAAAAAGCCAAAATAAAATCCATTGCAAGAGGATTCTAGTTGCAAAGAATTCATAATTAAATCCTGGGAGACTTGACACTTTGACAATTTTCAAACATCCTAATCATGTGATATATACATAAAATATTCATTCAATTTAATACAGTACTCTTTATAAATGTATACATATATATTTAGGTCACTTAAAGAAGTTTAAATTACACTCCTAGTTATTGTGTAAACTTCCAGTAAATTTTTCCATATGTCATCAGTTACTTTTCATTCTTTCATTTTCATAAGAAATATTTCATAACACAAACTAACAAGTATTGTAAGCGGTGTACAGACATCCATAGGGTCAGCAAATTTAATGTCCAATACACATTACTGCAAAATAAATGGAAATTATAATATAGTTATCAAATTGAAAATATATTGAATATTTCAATTTAAAAATTTGACTACAGAAACTTTATTTAACTAAGAAAAATTTTCCCATTAATCCTCCTCCAAATACTTGCCTTCGCTTTTCATTCTGTCAACTTACACTTTTGGAAGCTGTTGTGGAAACAAACACTCTTTAGTCAAACCATCCTGGCTACTTTCATGTCCTAACTTGATTCAAAACATTTACCTTTCTTAGTCATTTAGACTTTGCGGATGAACCAGAAGACCCACAGTGCCACGTTGAGTGAGTAAAGTGGGTGAGAACACACTTCAATGTTTTTCTGAGCCTGCCTTTTCATTAAATGGCAGTAAGGAGCAGCGTTTGTCATAGTTTTTATTGTACCTTGTAAAGACTCATGGAAGAAGATTATCAGAACTGCTTCAGCAAGCAGCAAGAATGATGGGATAAACATGTTCAAAGTGAAGGGAAGTAGTTGCAGTAAAAATTATGGCACTTTGTCTTCTATTGTCATTTTTTAAATTTGAACATTCATGATAAATTTTATTTACATCTTATATACTGGCCATGTTCTGGTAAGAATCAGAAGAGAAGAAAAACACTCTAATCTGTACTTCTCAGAGATAGTCTTTATGGGATGAACCATAATCTAAACAAAAGCTTGAAAGTGAAAATGAATTATCCTTATGAAATTTTGGTGCAGAGAAAGAGGACAGAGATCACTGAAGGCTTGAAGTTGTAAAGGTGTGAGAATTGAAAGGGTACAAAGCCACATGAGGACAGGAAGAACAAAGAATGCTGAATGGAAATAAATGGCCCCAAACATGAATCAGGCACCTCATAACGCAGGACCTTTTATATTAGAAGAAGAATGCATTTCATTCTCAGAGTCCTAAGGAACCACTGAAGATTGAAGTGCCTTATGAGAAGCATTAAGACAATTACATTTTAGGAAAAATTGAGGTGACTGAAAGTGACTGCAAAGTGGCAAAAACAAAGATAAGGGCAAAAGAGAAAAACGACTATAACCTGAGAAGGAGAAAATGGTGCCCTCACCAAGAGCAACAGGAATAGAGAGAAGAGATTTGCTTCCAAAGTAGAATCTAACATGGATACTGAACTAGTAAGTGGTTGGACTATTAAAAGTTCAACAGCAACAACAAAAAAACAAACAAACAAAAACAAAGCCATATAATGAGCTACTGCAAATCCGTAAAAATGCTAGGTAAGCTGCTGATAAAGCAGCATCTAAATAATGCCAGCTCCCACGGTTCTTGGATGGTCCACATGTTGGAAGCCTGGTGATGTTACACGGTGGAGAGACAGCTAGGAGGTAAAGGCAGTGTTAGTCTTTCAGGGGCATTCCCTGGGAAGGAACTGAGATAGTGGTTAGAATGCCCTGGTCAGTTTTTATGAGAGGATTATTATAAAAGAGCAAAAAATGGCCCTTCCCCAAACAAATTTCTCTCTGGCTGCTCCTTATACATAATCCCTTTGCGATCCCATGCAGCATATGGTCTTTATTGGAGCTGGGCAGGTGCTGGAAACATACAACATGCTGCGGTATCTGCAGAAATTCGAGCTAAAAAGGCCTCTTACAAATTACAAAGCTTCATTATTTTGCTACAGCAGTAGCAAACAAACATATAGCAACAATAAAAAGGATTTATTAAAAGAAATAAGAATACAGGAGAACAGTTAGTGGAACAAAAGTTTTTACACAAAACACAGCTTCAGTTTTCCATGCTGACGATATCTGTGTCCCTGCGAGGAAGGTAGGACTGAACTCCTGACGTCAGGCTCTGCACGGCTCAACCATGAGGACAGGGACACTGTACTCCAAGAGATGTTATGCAAGTAAAACACAGAATGAGACAGTAATCACTTTCACATCAGCCTCCCTGCACACTGACAGAGAAATCAGGAAAAGAATTAAGAGTGCATAAGCACAACTCAGCCATGAGCAGGGAAGCAAACTTCAGAGGCATTCCATCCACTGGCGGAGATCCTCTTCTAAAGCCAGTACAAAATACCCATTTGCTTCCAGACTAAATTTTCTCACGTATATCATAAAACTCTGAATCTTAAGGTCAGACTACCGGTGCCATCACACTAGCGATATGGCTATTTAGCCATAGATGTATGTGTTTAATCTTACTTCCTAGAGATGCTGTGTTAGACTCCATTTTTCCAAGAGAAGATTAATGCTGTCCAGGAACTGTTCGGATCACTAACAGCATATGCCACATTTTATAAGGGTTTTATGTCAGAATGAAGCCTAAGATGACAAAACTCTGCCAAAAGCCCTGAACTGAGAAAGTCTTTTAAAATTATATTTTCAAAGTTTCAAAAACAGCAGTAAAATCATATAAAGAATCACCTTTTAAAATATTTTACTTCATACTAAATTTTCCATTAAAAATTATAGTTTCATAAAACATGGTTATATATCTTACTGCAGTTTCATTTTCTATTATAAGCAGATTGATTTAAAATGTGAATTCCATATAATCTTTATCATATATTATTTTGCATGATATAAGCAGATTGACTTAAAATGTGATTCCATATAATATTTACCATATATTATTCTAGCATTAGAGAAAACCTAAAAGTACTCACTTCTAAATGTATAAGAAGCTAGCAGAAGAAGAACTAATAAAAAACTTTTCTCTTTCCATAATCAAGCATTCTAAATCAGCAAATGCTGCCATTAATTGTTGAATACCTTTTGCTTGATGCTCCTTTAGTTAAATGTATCTTACAACACAGTATTTTAGAAATATAAAGCATTTTAAATTTTGCTGGAACTCAACACAAGTGTTATAAAATCTACATTCTTGTGTTTATAATAATTGTTAAGATTATTATACTGGCTTTGAAAGGATGAAAAGTACATCTGATTAAATAAGCAAGCATTTCTTGTAATAGAAAGAAGCCAATAAATTCATTTCAACTACAGAAAAAGACAGACTGGGCATGGTGGTGCCCACCTGTAATCCCAGTGCTTGGGAGGCTGAAAACAGGAGGATCACTACGAGTCTGTTTTGTGTAGTGAGACCCTGTAGACCCTGTACTAATAAATACATTTAAAAAAAAAAAAAAGAATTAGGAGCTTCAACTACAGAAAAAGAAAAAATAATTTACTTAGGACATGAAAATTATGAGGTGTCAAGTCTTCAAATGTAATTAAGTCAGGGTGGGGAGATTTCTATGAATTACTGGCATTAGTACTATTGATTTATTTCTTGCTTTCTAGCAATTGAGAGGCTAATAAAGAGGATCAAAAATGTATACATTTTAGAAGTTGAAAAGTCCTTGAATATATACTTCAGCCTCTCCTGTAGATGAGTGGCTC